TCATGTAATGTTTAAATTAAAACAATGTGTATTTCAACTTCTTTATTTGTTCAGTGTAAATTTTAATTCTATTAGATTTTTTTTTTGGGGGGGGGGGGGGTGGCCTATGGTGGTGTATTAGGTTCAAAATTATAACGCGCTGTCGTCTTATTTCTAACTTCTATTTATGTAATTTTTTAACTTCTATTCGTAATTTCTAACTTATATTCGTGTAATTTTTAAATTAAGACAAGGTATATTTCAACTTTGATCCGATATTTCATCTTATTTCTATTATTTAGACGAAAAACGTCTTCTTCATTGACGTTTTACACGTTTAGCATGAACATCGAACAAATTTAGAATTTTTACCCTTCTGCCCTGCAAGCATCATTATAAAGTCGTTTGGTGTCGCCACTGCGTACTCATTTGGTGATTGAGCACCTGGTCGGGACACAGGCACTTGGGGGGATTAAAATAAAACTTCTTACTACTGCTTGACTGGGTCGGGACAATTATGTTAATATAAACGACTCGCTCTTCGTCTAGTTGAATGATTGGACGGAGTGCTGAAATTGATAGAGGGAGAGAGAAAGAGAGATTTAACGTCCACTTGACACAAACTAGGTCATTTCGTGACTAACATACGGTTTAATTTTACTTCATTAATTCGCTTGCGCGTAGAGGTCTTGAGCAGTGGGAGGAAACCGGGGCACCCGGATAAACCCCACCAGGTTGGACAGACGACCCTACTCCTTGTTACATACAAATGGGGCATCGTCCACTTGACACAAACTAGGTCATTTCGGGACTAATATACGGTTCAATTTTACTTCATCAATTCGCTTGCGCGTAGAGGTTTTTAGCAGTGTAAGGAAACCGGGGCACCCGGATAAAACCCACCAGGTTGGACAGACGACCCTACTCCTTGTTACATACAAACGGGGCATCGATGCTAAATTTGAAAACAACATCGAATGTGATATGGTTGGCAAATATTATTCCACATATAAATTAAACAACATTTGTTAATTTTTTTTTAATTTTTTTTTGAAGACAAGCGAAGGATTTTTGGAGAATTTTATTTTAAATTTTGATTTTCCGACGTGGTTTTCTCCTTGTCAGTGGCGGAGGGCCTGACAAGGAGAGCTGCCTAGTAGTTCGGATGGTATACGAAAAACCGAGGTCCCGTATATACTTCGACGAGACAGATGGGGTTTAACGTTCACTCGACACAAACTAGGTCATTTCGGGACTAACACAGTGTTAAATTTTATTTCAATATTTCGCTTGTGCGTAGGGGTATTTAGCAGTAGGAGGAAATCGGACGTTTGTATCAACATAATGGTCCCGATCAGGTGCTTAATCGCCAAATTGAGCACACGGTGGCTACACCAAACGACGTCATAATGATGGTTGCCAGGTAGAAGTATCAAAATTCTAAATTTGTTCAACATTCATGCTTAACATGTAAAGTGAAAATGAAGTAGACATGTTTCGTCTTAATAATAGAAATAAGATGAAAAAGAATTATACATTGTCTTAATTTAGAAATTACATGAATAGAAGTTAGAAATTGAATGGATAGAAGTTAGACATTAGACGATAGCATTTTAGAAATTTTAATATACCGCCATACTGGCCAGGGCAGCCATGCGTCTTATTCCGGCACTGTTTATTAGCACACATATTTGAGGGTGTGGGCCACTCTGCAATGCGCTGAATGTATAAGCTGGCCTCTGTACTTATGGCATGCTATGTACATTGTATTATATATGTACATGTACAAACTGAGGTCACATGGCTTTCAGTTTAACCTGGGCACATAATTTCACGCTATGCTTTCATGTACCTGGAAAATGTATCGACTGAGTTTAGGACAAACTAACCCCTATTAGCAACGAGGCATGATATACATGTAGGTCAAAAACTGTGTGTACAGATTTCATAATGCGTCTATTTTTAGAATTATCCTCTTGACAAAGTGGAGTCCAGTAAATAACGCGCGGGGGGCCTCAAATGAGAATAGCAGGTAGTGGATATTGAAAGTGTACAAAATATGTGCTGGATGGACATTGCTTGTAACTGATACTTGTTAACAATATCGCTTATATAAAACTCTATTCTGCGACCGACAAGGGACTAGTGTTTTATAGACGTATATATACTTATTTTATAAGTAAGGGACTAGTGTTTTATAGACGTATACTTATAATAATATTATAAGTAAGATTGTCTGTGTTTGAGCGCAGCTGACCAATATCAAAACATTTAGTGTTTATTCCATTGGACTTATTGGCGACACAATGTCAATGATTCAGGAGTTGTCAACATATTTTGTGGATCCTAATACCAGGATTCAGGCCACCCTGATTACTTTCTTTTCTGCACTGTTCGGGGCTAAAGTTATAATGGATTTTGTTAAAATAGATAACCAACCGCCTGGACCTTCAGGTGTACCTTTGCTCGGATATTTACCATTCTTCGGAACCCATCCATATCTTACTTTTTCTAAACTTCGAGAAAAGTATGGTGACATTTTTAGTTTGAAAATGGGCAGTTTTCCGGCAGTTGTTATTAATGGTAAGGATCTTATAAAGGAAGCTTTTGTCGGCAGGGGCGATGATTTTTCTGGAAGACCACAGTTCTACTCAAATACTATTTTGGGTGTAGAAACCATGAGCTTTGGGGTCTTTGATGAACGTACAATTACTCATAAAAAGATGGCTGCAAACAAATTACTTGAATTTGCCAGTGCTCGTAAAAATCCTATTGAAGATATAGTAGATTTTGAAGCTAAGATCGCAGTAACAGAATTTGCACAACTGAAGGGCCAACCCTTTTACCCGAAGGACATAATTTATTCCAGCGTTGGTAGCGTCATATTTCAAATTTGTTATGGTAAGCACACTAATATCCGAGAAGAGGATTCATACTTTAGAGATTTCATACTTAGTTCGAGCGAGTTTTCAGAATTTGTAGGAACCGGAAATCCAGTTGATGTGATGCCTTGGATGCGGTTTATTATGCCGTGGAAAGTTACCAAGTTTGTTGAACTTGTCACTGGCTTCAAAGCCATCAGGAACAAAAAGATCGAAGAAAATCTGGAAAGTTCTTCTCCTTCAAATATTAGGCACTTGTCCGATGGCATCATTGTTGCAGCCAATAAACACGAAGCTGATCCTAACTCAACCCTGAGTAGAGAAAGAATTTATTCAACAATTGATGACATCATGGGAGCTGGATTTGAAACTGTGTCCACTGTCTTGAACTGGGCGATATTGCTTTTAACAGCTTATCCTAAAGCTCAAGAAATTGTCCACGCAGAGATTGACAACGTACTTGGAAAGCGACCACCAAGACTACAAGATAAAGCCAAAATGCCTTACTGCATGGCAACCATACATGAAGATTTAAGGTTTTCAAACATAGCACCATTTGCCATTCCCCATGCTGCTACAAAAGATACGGAACTAAGTGGGTACACCATTAGGAAAGGAACCATCATTATTCCTAACATGTACTCTATCAGTCACGACAAGGACATATGCGCGAATATCGAAAGGAACCGAGATCTTTGAGTTATAAGCATACATTTCAAGTTTAAACCAAATCGGGTAAAAATTGTGACCGCCACAGTGTTCTCAAGCTAAAAACGTGATTTTTCGTACAATCAGGGGCCATAATCCACGAAGTTACAGTCCGATACATGCCAATATCGAAAGGAACCGAGATCTTAGGGTGATAAACCTAAGATTGAAATCGGATAAAAATTGTGTCCTGTAGACTGTTCACAAACAATTGTGGACGGACGGACGGGCCGGCAGGGGCGACGACAATATACGTCCACATGAAAATGTGGGCGTATAAAAAGTAAGTTACACGTTAACACGTAGGCCTCCTTTTAGTGTACCTCGTGGTTTCTTAACAATAATAATCAAAGGTGAAATGAACTTAGTTCCACGGAACGTTTTTGCTTTAAGAAACTTCTAGCCGAGTTTAATTGAATGCCAGTAATTCATTTTTTTGTTAAAAAGAAAGTACACCAATAGATGTATGCTCCGTTTATATGTGTTTTGTCTAAAGAAAAATAATTGCATATTAACGATAACGGATACTTTTTCTGAGCACTGAATATAAACACTAGATGTTATTAGGTATCAAGGCGGAAACGGATGCATCACAAATTGTTCTGTGTTTATCGTTAGGGATTCTGTAATGAACCTGATAGGCTTCATAAGTCGGTGATACTGTAGTCCATGGGTAGCCAACCCTTTACATACCACGGTCAATTTGATCACACACGAATTCAGACGCGACAACGCGTATTGAACTTCGCTTACGTTTGGCACATGGCCGGAGGTTGGTAATCTGTGTCGTAGTGTCTTAAGCGACGAATAAACGCGTGGTAGAACTGTAACTCTCAATGTCCACCTCGTCACGTCTCTGCTATGCTGCTTGATTCATTCTGCACACAGTGAAATATCTACTTTGAGAACAGATCTCTGCCCTGGATGGCCGCCAATCACATATGTCATACACATATAGATTTTATTAAATGGAAATGTCTGTTAGACATACAGCTTAAGTTAGTACTTGCTTGATTAACTCACATGTTCAACCATTTCAAGAACACACTGTTCACTAGTAGATGAGACCTAAACCGATGTTCGATTAGGCAGTTTAGATTATTGGCCGGACCCAAATATTAATGTTATAATGCCAACTTAAGAATGTCTACATGGTCGATACATAAACGAGATTTGAGATAGGTTAGAAGATATGGGTAGAACTATGGTGATTTTCGCAATTTTCATTTCATTTGAAGCTAACGGAGACATCATAAGTCACGTCCAAAACCGCGTTTGAATAGGGTTGGTTCATACAATGTTTAATAAAATGGAAAGATGTTTTATATGAAGCGGTGTAACCAACAGGGATACTAAATTTTAATTTTCATAGACAAATTACAGATATGAACTTACGGTATATTATTTATTGCAAATATTTATAAATGAATCTGATACATACATTTATACATATAATTATATTAGCGCCAGAAAGATAGTCTGTCGTTTGTATTTCTACTCTTATCACGAGGCTGGTGTACCCCACCCCAATCCCCTAAAAAAGATGACACGCATTAATTAATTGCACATTCATCTTTTTGTAAAGCCTCAAGCAATAGGCGAGGCTGATGTCCTCCGCCTCAATCCCAAAATAAATAGATGAAATTCTTTAGTTAATTGCACATTTCTCTTTCTATAAACAATCTAACCATCAGACTGTTTATTACTCTTCCTGAGTAGAATAATGATAATTTTTGATTTTAGTCATGGTATGGATATAATGAAACTGTGCACCAAGTTTCACCACTCACCCTTCAATTTGAAGCAGAGATGTTATGTTCTAAAGTTTTGGCCTACCAACTTGCTTACATCTGCTCAATCAAGGCAATCACCTTGCTGACACAAAGTTCGAACATTTTAGATCAATTAGCTGCAGTGTTATTGTGTCCCAAATCGTGAGATGGACATACAGACTGGCGGATGAACCCATTTTGATAGCCCCCTACTTTCCGGGAAAGGCTGGGGACAAAACGGAATACATTTAGTTTCTTTGTAATTTGAAATATATTTGTTTCAGTGGTGTATCTGAAAGACTGTTATGCCAAAAATTATCTATGCCAGAACTGTCCATGGTTCCTGTTAAAAGACTATTGGTACAATTGACTTGACTATCGTACCACCATCCGCCTCCAAATCTCTTGGCACATTCATTGCTTCCAGTATAATCAACATCGTATGTGGAGAAAGGATTGTTGTTTAAGTTGATAATACCAGTCAAACTGTCACCACAGTCAAGCATACCAGGACCACTAGTATATATCTTATAGGATGTTGATTTATTACTAATAGCGAAGTTGTAGTAATAATTGACGCAAAATGACGAATCAGGCATATAAAGGATGACTCCCAATTTGTAGGTACCGCCTGAGTAACCAAGTATATATAGTAAGTTTTTGAAACCTAGCCATTTGTTTGACGCAACATTACCAAAACCCTCTTCATATTCTATCAATGTTCTATTAAAGTTTTCAAATAAACAGTCTTGATTACGATGAAATATTATAGTCCATCCACCATAGCCAAATGTGCACAGTACTTCAAAAGAATTAGGAGACGTCACTGGTTTAATATTGGTTAATACATCAGTAGGATATCTTAAACCACTATTGAAACCTTCCTGGCAGTCTGGAATTGAATCAACAAAAAATTAAATGAAAGAGTTAAATCTGCCTACGTTATATAGACATTTATTCACATGGCAAGCCCATAATCAGTTCTCTCGGTCATTGGGTGGCTTAGATATTAGATGCCGCCAATATCCACCTTAAGAGTGACTGTCGATTGATAAATAAGATTTCGTTTATTATCGTGGCAATGGTACTTGGCAATCGAGAATATGAACTCCCAATAGGCAATCGTCGCACACAATTTAGGTTATTTCTTCTCTAAACTTCAAACATTGATAAGTTCGCTCATTTTCATCATCTATTTTTATAAGCCCGCATGTCTTGTCCCCTGTCCTTCTATCAGGAATGGGCCTGTGAATGCGATAGAGGCGCCTTTGAGCTACTCCTGCCCCCATTGCCGAAAACACCTCGTGTATGCAATAGAGGCATCAGTTTTTAACGGGTTTGGATCATAGAAAAAACCCTGTGAACACTATAGGACTATAGCTTTTAATAGACTTTTTTGAAATTTGTTCGGAATCATTGGGGTCATAAAAAGATGAACCCTATTGATTTTCAACGTCCCCATTTGCCTAAACCCTTGCGAACGTTATAGCAGCTACAGTTTTTAACGAATGTTTTTAAAATTTGGGTCAAGAGAGGACAATTATAGTCCATCTATTTTTAGCATTCCACGACTTTTCATTCCAGAGTTATCCCCCTTTGCAGAAAACCTAGTGACGGCAATATATTCTAGATTAGAGGACGATCACAACCGACCTTCCACATTCGCTAAGAAAGTGTCAAAGAATTTCCTAAACCTTGATATTCAAAATACTCAAATAGATTTATAATGTTAAAAGACGAAGAAAGCAATGAGACTCTACCCGTAATAATATCTTGACACTGGTCTCCATAGTGGCCTAAAGGACAGGCACAAATTGAATCCACGCAACCAATTGTCTGTAAAATACAAATATAAGAATAATTGTGGATATAGGGTGTTATTTAGTTATACCGAGGAATACTACACATTGCATACTAATCAATTGAACTGTATTAATGCATTAAACCGTCTTTTCAAATGGGTGCCAGATTAAAATTTGTGTATTGTGAGCGAAATGAAGTTTTATTTTAAAACCGTACAATTATATACAAAGAATTTATTTTTCTGTTTATGTGCTCAAGAGAAATTTATTACGCAAATAAATATATGAGGAAAATGAAAATTTTAACGTATTCCAAAATACCAGTGAAAGCTGCTAGTGCAACACGTAACAGACCTACGGCGCAAGGAAAACATGAACTCACTTGCGTCATAAAAAGCATGTTTGGGAAATTACCCATTGCATTGCGAGAAGTTTTAAAATCGCTGTGTTCAAGTATGTATTTCTCTATGGGACCTCGACAACTCATTACAACATTAAGATGGCAAGCTATTGGCATGAAGAGTGCTGTGATGTCATTGTGACAGATTGTATGACCGTTGGGTCACCATCCCTCGGCCATAAGTCGATTATTGCGTAAAGAACTACAGACCATTGACGAACGGGGTCGCCAACGTTCTGGTACACCTCGCGGTACATCTGCAAGGGATGATGCAACATTTTTGCGATGTCATCCTTTTGCGCCAAGCATTGTGTTGCCTATGAGATATTACATTCGTAACAGAAGGAAATAATTCTAGAAGTTATTATCCAAAACCATTAAAGCTTAATAGGAATCGTCTTTTGGGACAACCAATATAACCGTTGAGAATCGATTCAATACACGACCTATATCAATTTCAGATATATGGATTACTGTAGCGTATATTGTGCTGACAAGATTATGTGAACGGTGGACAAACAAGTGTGATGACAAGATACGACTACACTAAAATGGGTTAGATGCAGTCTTAACCCCTATAATATATCTTAAAATACAGATGTGACGTCATCCTTTGATGTTAGAGTACCATTATTTCAAATAATCGTACGGACAATGTGCCAAGCGTAACTTGGTAAAATATTGAACTCGAGTGACGTATTTCATTGCAAAGCACGTGCAAGTGTCCGTATTTTAAGTTGTTTAATGGTCTCGAGCTTAAGACATTGCGTAATATATTGTAAAAACATTCGGGCCTCACGGCCCTCATGTTGTTACAATATAATAATAATAATCTATTTATAAAGCGCTGAATATCCAACAAACTGGTTGCTCAAGAGCGCTATCTACATAAGACATATTTAAAAGATGAAAAATAACCATGATACGATAAACATTTAAACTCAAGGAATGAACAAAATAAATGCTTGAACTGGTAAAATTACCATAAACAAATTAGTTATTAGCACTGTGGGTAAACAGATTTAAAGATTTCAGTCTTAAGAGATTTCTTAAAAGATGTCATGCTTTTAAAGTCTTTAGTCTTTTTTGGTAGCCTATTCCATAATGTTGAGCCACTATGGGCGAAAGTTCTTTCACCACTTTTAATTTTTAATAGAGGACATACGAGAAGGTTCTCATTCTGTGAGCGAAGTGAGCGAGAGGGAGTGTAGGGTGTAATAATTTCTTGAAGGTATTTAGGAGAGTCCATATTATTCAGTGTATTATATGTAATAACATTTATCTTAAATATTATCCTTTATCAAACCGGGAGCCAGTGTATGTTCACGTGGTTTTGTTTAAGTTACGATCCGAGCTGCTCGGTTTTGGAGCTTTTGTAGTTTGTTGATTTGTAAAGCAGGTAAATTGAACAGAAGAGAGTTACAGTAATCCAAGTTCGATAAAACAAAGGCATTAACCAACATTTTAGCAGTGTCGATGTCAATAAATGGACGTGGTTTTCCAATATTATATAAATGGAAATTTATTTTCTTACATGTCAAGTTAATATGAGTGTTGAATTGAAAGTTACTGTCAAATAAGACTCCTAAATTCTTTACAGATTCAGCTGGTTTTACTTTAACATCACCAATAGAAATATGATCAAGGTGGACTTACTCCAAAATTTTATTTTTGCCTATGTGTATGACTTCTACTTTTCTCGTGTCCCTTATCTACTGACAGCCAATTCTTTTTTTTAATTGTCAGATATCCTCTCATCGTCTCATATAACAACTTTTCATCTTCAACTGAATTATCAGTGAAATGAAATTCGCTCGTTTGTCTGTTATCGCTCGTTACTTCAGCCAGTTATATAGAAGAACAACTCGTGTTTGTCATGTTTGACGTCACTGCCCGTTTCTTCACATGCTTGTTACGCGTTTCCCGTAGCAATGATCTCTGTGTTAAAATTATATTTGGAATGTATTTAACCAGTTCTATCACATATGTAATAATGGATGACACCAATATTGTCCTTTAATGTCTCGCTCTCGACCATTAAACAATACATATATCCTGGAAGCGTGAAGTTAAATCGTGTTTCCTTATTCGTTATTCGTTAGTAAAATTTTCAAAAACGAATAACGTGATAGAACGTCTTTCGTTATTCAGGATTGAAACAAAATTAATAATCTTCTTATAAATTTCGTATCATCGTTGTCATGTAAACGGCACTACGGCTTACTCTTATTTTGAAGTCCAATCGTCTAGGCACTTTTGCGTGCAGGCCAATGTGTACACGGGACAATGTGTCCCTTCCGAACGACTATACGTGGTCCCTTGCCAGGCCACCAAACCTGTACGACTAACAATGGAGAACCACGTCGATGAACTTTCGCGGGAAACTAACTCTCCTGGTTAGCGATCTAACGTTTTACTGACTGAGCCACCGTGGCTCCTAATTGAATTGTGAGGAGGATGCCTCGGCAGTAAAATAAACCTCTTTTCACTTCTATGTCATTTTGCTTTTCGAGGATTCTGATTTTGAATAACGAGACAGAACGTGTTACGTTATTCGAGATTGAAATAAAATTATTATTTATCTTTGAAATTTCAAATCATCTGTTTTGTCTCGTTATTCGTTGTTGAATCTCGAAAAACAAATGTATGTTTTGCGACATAGAAGTAAAATAGGTTACTTTTTGTGGTTGAGGAATCCTTCTTATATGTCAATTAAATGAAAAACACAATTTACTTGGCAAATTTGAATCCTTAATAACGAAACACGTCCTGTTTCGTTATTTATGCTCGAAAAGCAAAATGGGTTGTTTTATGACATGTGAAAAGAGTTATTTTTACTGCCGAGGATTTCTTCTTATAAATCAATTTAAAAAAAAACAAAAACCAGTTTACTTGACAAAAAAAAAAATGGACAATAATGATATGAAATTTATAATTAAAAATAATAATTTTATTTAAATCCCGAATAACGAAACACGTTCTGTCTCGTTATTCGTTATTCAAAATTTAAATCCCGAATAACGAAACGCTTCCTGTCTCGTTTTTCGCTATTCAAGCTCGAAAAAGCTAAATGGACTGTTTTATGCCATAGACGTGACAGGATGGTTGTTTACTGCCGAGGCATCCTACTTGCAAGTCATTTTGGAGGCACAGTGGCTCAGTGTGTAACACGTTAGCTCGATAACCAGGAGATCCCTTGTTGGCCGAGAAAATTCATCGAGATTCCTCCTTGACATTTGATAGAGGATGGAGACCTGTCGAGGAACAGCGTACAGTCCTTCGGATGTGGCGAAGAAACTTTGAGCAGTGGAATTTGAATTAAGAGATGGTCGGGGTGCCGCTGTCTGGGAAAAATTGGCCTGTATTGCACATTGCATATTATATTCCCGTCTAAATTAGTCCAGTCGGTTCAGAACAGTAAAACATTAAACCCTATTTCATTCCATATACTGCTGAGATATCCTTCTAAGTCAATTAAATGAAAAACACAGTTTACTTAACAAATGGACAACGATAATATGAAACTTATAAGAAAAAATAATAATTTTGTTTCAGTCCCGAATAACGAAACACATTATTCGTTATTCAAAATTTGAATCCCGAATAACGAAACGTGTTCTTTTTCGTTATTCGTTATTCGCCAATAACTAATAACGAAACACGATTTAACATTACACTGCCATTTACCTTTATGTAACAGGAACAACCAGTTTTGTCTCCGGACATAACACAATCTCTGCCATCTTGATATAATTTGCAGGATGAATCCAGTGAACAATAAAGATATCGTTTACAATCAGCTTTCTCTGTACAAGCTCGGGCACAATCTAATTTCCGTGACGTATACGTTCTTTCGATAAATCTGCTAGGATCACAGTTATTAATCACAACATTAGATTTACTATAGGAACCATAACGGTACCCTAAACTTTGTACAGGAGTCAAAAACAGGAGAGAAAGAACCGGGGCTAGAAGCATTGTGTGCGTCATGCTGAATGCCCAGGAACTCAATGAATAGAAAAGTCTGATTGTTACCACGCCCGATTCCGATTTTGAGTTTAACATAAAGTCACTTAATTACTCGATACACATATTATTAAAATTTGGTTACACAAACATCGAATATATTAAAATGTATATTGATTTCTAAACAATGGAATCGATAAGTAACAGATAATCGATCCATGTTTAGCCTCCAAACCGTACCTTGCTTTGTCAACGGGAGTGGTTTATTATGTTCGCTTTCTGCTCAGATGTATTTCGTAAACAATTACCTGCAATAGTTTTAGAAATAAAAATCTATAGTTAGTTTAATATGCTTCACCATGGTATTGTTATATTTAGGCTTTGTGATTATTAGTATTATTAATTTGATTTTGACTTTAACATGGAACTTCAATTTATACCAAGAATTTTCTGTTACGAGGAATAATCACCTAAAAATAGATGTTCGTAAATATAACAAAAAAGACAATAGTTTAATAGTTTGGGTATACTACTTTATACAAACGGCGAAATTAACGATTAGAAAATTAAAATAGACCCGCCTGGTGCACAGTTCAGGTTTCCGTCTCGAGTCAATAATTTAAAGCAAATCCAGATAGTTAACGGTTGTATTTTTGATGTACCCCCCCCCCCCTCTCACACACACACTTAACCATAAACACAGCTCCAGGGAACATTTTGAAGAAGTCGATGATATTTAAAAATGTGAATGCAGGGAGTTCTTGCTCTGGGGTTATTTTGTATTTTAACCGTGCAGGTTATAGTAGTTATATGTTATAATTAAAATCTTGAATATTTGAGATAATACATTATTAATTTTAAAAGTGAAAGCCTTCAAATTGAATTCATTTAAACTCACGGGACAATAACTATTTAATTATTCAAAACATTAATTGTGTGTGTGCTATTAAAAGGTGACTAGCCAAGGATGAAATGTTATGTAATGCTAATGACATGTTAATTATTATAATCCCCTATTGTTTATTTATGATTGATCTATTAATTGTTTGATTAACTATTGTTTTATTTCGTATATTGTACATTATTAGGGGACATCTCACACTGTTACCCAGGTGGCAACGTGAAGTTGGCATGTTATTATGGATTCGTGATTCGAATAACGAATAATGAGCCAGCACGTTATTCGGAATTAGGGACTAATAACAAACCGGCCTACCTTGCATCCGACCATAATAACAAGCCATCACGTTATTCGGGATTCGCCAGTAAAATAGACCGGTCCCTTGCCAGGCCACCAAACCTGCACGACTAACAATGGAGAACCACGTCGATGAACTTTCGCGGGAAACTAACTCTCCTGGTTAGCGATCTAACGTGTTACTGACTGAGCCACCGTGGCTCCTAATTGAATTGTGAGGAGGATGCCTCGGCAGTAAAATAAACCTCTTTTCACTTCTATGTCATTTTGCTTTTCGAGGATTCTGATTTTGAATAACGAGACAGAACGTGTTACGTTATTCGAGATTGAAATAAAATTATTATTTATCTTTGAAATTTCAAATCATCTGTTTTGTCTCGTTATTCGTTGTTGAATCTCGAAAAACAAATGTATGTTTTGCGACATAGAAGTAAAATAGGTTACTTTTTGTGGTTGAGGAATCCTTCTTATATGTCAATTAAATGAAAAACACAATTTACTTGGCAAATTTGAATCCTGAATAACGAAACACGTCCTGTTTCGTTATTTATGCTCGAAAAGCAAAATGGGTTGTTTTATGACATGTGAAAAGAGTTATTTTTACTGCCGAGGAATTCTTCTTATAAATCAATTAAAAAAAACAAAAACCAGTTTACTTGACAAAAAAAAAATGGACAATAATGATATGAAATTTATAATTAAAAATAATAATTTTATTTAAATCCCGAATAACGAAACGCTTCCTGTCTCGTTTTTCGCTATTCAAGCTCGAAAAAGCTAAATGGACTGTTTTATGCCATAGACGTGACAAGATGGTTGTTTACTGCCGAGGCATCATACTTACCAGTCATTTTGGAGCCACAGTGGCTCAGTGTGTAACACTTTAGCTCGATAACCAGGAGATCCCTTGTTGGCCGAGAAAGTTCATCGAGATTCCTCCTTGACATTTGACCAGTCTGTGGCTACAGTTGCATGCCGTCTATGATTTGCCATGTTTTTTATTTTGCAAAAAATTCAAATATTTTTCATATATATTAAGTCGGGTGTGCCGCTGTTTTTTCATGTGTTTCAAGGTGTGCCGTTGGCGCAAAAAGATTGAGAACCACTGCCACAGACCATACTAGATTAAAGACAGTGAAGTTGGCTAATTTACGGCATACATTAAATAGTTTTATTGACAGGCGTATACAAGTAATTTCATCTCAAAGTCACCATGTCCGAATGGGCGAACATCAAGCCTCGGCTGTATGGCAGTAAGTGATATGTACCTACGCTTATACAATTGCGATGCGGCACCGGTTTAGTTATGCCCCCGTCAGACCAGGGTGGCGTCCTTACTGCGCCGCTGCGACCGTACGGCGACCAGAAAATGCACAAGGTCGCCGGCAAACGTGAACACAACGCGCGAAAATGTCCCCAAAAACTACAAACTTGAAAAAAAGTCGTATTCTCGTAGTTTTACAGTTCAGATCGCAGAACCTTGGCGTTTGCTTTGAACATGCTCAAAATAAACGCGGTGACTCGGCGATCATTGGCGACCATGGTGACTACAGCACGATAGCTGGTGTTTCCACTACGCTTATGGCGATCTTAACGCGCTCTAAAACTATTTTCCATCGCCGTATCAGCGAAGTAAGTACGCTACCCCGATCTGACGGGGGTATTATTAGGAAAACTTGCCGCTTTTAGAAAGAAGTTCTAAAAACTGCGTCGTTCGAAGAGTATGTAGACTTTTCAGTTCAAACTGGTCCGTGTCTAAAGGAAATCGGATAAACTTGAAAGAAAAACAGCTTCAGACTTTGAAATCTTTGTATGGTAAAACATTCTTCAAATGCGTCGTCATGGGCAACGACGTTGGTAATCCGGAACTTGAAAGTAATCCCAATGGCGGACTTCGTCATACAGCCGAGGCTAGATGTAGGGTACTGGAATCTGCTGAGGTTTGGCCGAGTTGGCGCGAGATATGAATGGGGTCGGACTAACCCCGCTTTCCCCTACCTTATAAAAACATGGTAATGCACGGACTTTTTTCTGTTTTTCTTTCGTGTTCTCTTATCTAGTGGCAGTCAATTCTTTTTATAAATTGTCAGATATCTTCTCACAGTCTCAGAAAACAACTTTTAGTCTTCGAGGGAATTATTAGTGAGCAGAAATTCGCCCATGTATCTGTTATCAGTCGGCACTTCAGCCAGTTATATAGAGGTATGTCTCGTGTTTTCCTTTGGCGTTCGTCACTTCCGATTCAGGAATCCTGTATAACTCAGCTATCGTAGCAATGATCTCTGAGATAAACTTATATTACGAACGTGTTTAGTTAGTTCTATCAGATATGTGATAATGAATGGCACCAATATTGTCCTTTAACAAATGGACAACGATAATATGAAACTTATAAGAAAAAATAATAATTTTGTTTCAATCCCGAATAACGAAACACATTATTCGTTATTCAAAATTTGAATCCCGAATAACGAAACGTGTTCTTTTTCGTTATTCGTTATTCGCCAATAACTAATAACGAAACACGATTTAACATTACACTGCCATTTACCTTTATGTAACAGGAACAACCAGTTTTGTCTCCGGACATAACACAATCTCTGCCATCTTGATATAATTTGCAGGATGAATCCAGTGAACAATAAAGATGTCGTTTACAATCAGTTTTCTCTGTACAAGCTCGGGCACAATCTAATTTCCGTGACGTATAAGTTCTTTCGATAAATCTGCTAGGATCACAGTTATTAATCACAACATTAGATTTACTATAGGAACCATAACGGTACCCTAAACTTTGTACAGGAGTCAAAAACAGGAGAGAAAGAACCGGGGCTAGAAGCATTGTGTGCGTCATGCTGAATGCCCAGGAACTCAATGAATAGCAAAGTCTGATTGTTACCAAGCCCGATTCCGATTTTGAGTTTAACATAAAGTCACTTAATTACTCGATACACATATTATTAAAATTTGGTTACACAAACATCGAATATATTAAAATGTATATTGATTTCTAAACAATGGAATCGATAAGTAACAGATACTCGATCCATGTTTAGCCTCCAAACCGTACATTATGTTCGCTTTCTGCTCAGATGTATTTCGTAAACAATTACCTGCAATAGTTTTAGAAAAAAAAATCTATAGTTAGTTTAATATGCTTCACCATGGTATTGTAATATTGAGGCTTTGTGATTATTAGTATTATTAATTTGATTTTGACTTTGACATGGAACTTCAATTTATACCAAGAATTTTCTGGTACGAGGAATTATCACCTAAAAATAGATGTTCGTAAATATAACAAAAAAAACAATAGTTTAATAGTTTGGGTATACTACTTTATACAAACGGCGAAATTAACGATTAGAAAATTAAAATAGACCCGCCTCGTGCACAGTTCAAGTTTCTGTCTCGAGTCAATATTTTAAAGCAAATCCAGATAGTTAACGGTTGTATTTTTGATGTACACCCCCCCCCCCCTCACACACACTTAACCACAAACACAGCTCCAGGGAACATTTTGAAGAAGTCGATGATATTTAAAAATGTGAATGCAGGGAGTCCTTGCTCTGGGGTTATTTTGTATTATAACCGTGCAGGTTATAGTAGTTATATGTTATAATTAAAATCTTGAATATTTGAGATAATACATTATTAATTTTAAAAGTGAAAGCCTTCAAATTGAATTCATTTAAACTCACGGGACAATAACTATACTATTCAAAAAAAGTAGGGGATATTTGATTTTTAAGTGTTATTAAAGTCACCTAATGAAACTGACGAAGAAACAAATGACAAAATGAAAT